TTATTATTATCATTATTATCATCATCATCATTTTTTTTAAAATATGTATATATATTTTAATATTATGTGAGATCATTGAGTGTAAAAATAAATGGATTACATCATTTTTGTTTGTCGTTGTCGTTGGTATTCGATTCCGGTATCGCGTTTGTGTGTTTGTTTTTTTTTTTTTAAACTTTATTAAAAATTCTAAAACGAAACTTTTTTTTTTTTTGTGTAAATTTTTTTTACTTCGTTTTTAAAATATTTAATTAAAATTATTATTATTATCATCATTATTATTATCATTATTATTATATAAAATTAATAAATCGAATCGGAATATTAAAGCGAAAATCAAATATGATGATGATTATGGAAATGCTTTTTTTTTTTTTTTTTTTGTTAAATATTTGAAATAAGCCGATATTTTGTTTGTTAATAACAAATGTTGAACAAATCGCTCTCTCTCACTCTCTCTCTCTTTCTCTTTCTCTCTCTCTCTCTCTCTCTCTCTCTCTCTCTCTCTTTCTCTTTCTCTCTCTCTCTCTCTCTCTCTCTCTCTCTCTCTCTCTCTCTCTCTCTCTCTCTCTCTCTCTCTCTCTCTCTCTCTCTCTCTCTCTCTCTCTTTTTCTGCGTAAGATTAATTAATAAAAAAAATTGTGAAGGAATGCAAAATGCGCATATTTTTCATTCGTTTAATATTAAAGATTTTAATAAGCGAGTAATTTATAAAGATTTAAAAGTGAGCGAGACGTGACGTCATATAGAGTGATTGCGTCATCATCATCGCGTTTTTTTTTTTTTTTTGAATAAAAATAAGTCATCGAAAATCTAGTGTTAAAACTAGTAGTAACTTGGTTGTGTTGTAGGAGCGAAATGTTGATTTATCGATAATAACCGACTGATCGGAGTGTGTTTCTTAAGTAATTCACCTGTCAACGATGACGACAAACAACAAACAACAACAACAAACACCAAACAACACCTTTTGATATATTGTTTTGACAGATTCAGTGACTAGAAAATGTGTCGCAGTGGGAAGTCTGACTAAATCAAACTAGTTGCTACCTTTTTTTTTTTTTCTCTCTCTCTCAACACTTGGAACCGATTTTTTTTTTCGTTTGTTTGTTTGTTGTTATTATATTGTTTGTTACCGAATGTAATTTATTATTATTAATATTTTTCTTTTTATTTTTTCAGGTAAGAGAATTTATTTGAATACCTACCTACAAATTTCAAATCGGTAATTATACTCATATTATTATTCGTTTGTTGTTTGTTTGTTCTGGTTGTTGTTGTTAAACGAAGATTTTAGTTTTTTAAAAAAAAAAAAATGGGAAAAAATTTATTTAGGTCGAGAATGTTTTTTTTTTTTTTTTTTTTTAGAAAAAAGTGAAACTCTCACTCGGAGTTGTGAGAGGAGGAAGTCACTTAGATTCTTTTTTTTTTTTTCTGTGTCTTCTCGGAGGAGGTTAATGGGCGGCCTATTATTCTTTTTTTTCTTTCCTTTTTTTCCTTTTTTTTTCCCGAGGATCTTTTCTCTGTCAGCACAAAAGAAAAGTTTAGTATATAATTCGCGGGAGAAAAAATGAAACAAAAAAAGAGAGAGAGAGAAACAAGACGAATAAGTAGAAGAAGAAGAGAAAAACCGTTTAGAAAAGAGCACGGTTGAGTTTTTTTTTCTTTTTTTTGTTCCTTTTTTTTTTTTTTTTTTCATTAATTGAAGTTTTTATTCAGGTGTAAAAACGTAGACGTTTTTTTTCTTTTTTTTCCATTTTTCCTTTCCATTTTTAAAATTTTCCCGATGATTTTTTTCCTTTTTTTCTTTATCCATTTCCGTAAAAAAAAATTTTTTTTTATTGGATTTGAATCGGTCGTGAGTTTTTGGGTGTTGGAAAGGTCAGGCAAAGGTTGTATTTGGGTGTGCCTTTTTTTTTTTTTTTTCTTTTGCTTTCCACCTTTAAGTTCCCGATCGGGGGGGGGAAGGAGGTGAGGAGGGAGAAAAAGAAAAAGAAAGGAAAAGTTGGGAATAAAATTTTAAAAAATTTAGAAAAAGAAATTTTAAAAATTTTAAATTTAAGAAGAAAATTTCGAAACGCGTGAAATGCATAAAATGAAAGCCGGATGAGGGAGGGGGCAGGGGCGGGAGGGTAGGCAAAGAGGCTTCATGTAGAAGGGGGTTAGTGGGGGGAGAGGAGGGGAGTCGTCACAAAAAAAAGAAAAATAATTAATCGTAATAAATTTGATTAAATTAAATTAAATAATTTTAATTATAACGAATGAGTAGTTAATTAATTATAATAATAATAATAATAAAATTTTTCTTTTGTAATTTATAGAAATTATGTTTAGTGCGCGTTTTATCATTATTATTATTATCATTAATATTTATTACTCGAAGGCGGTGGTTTTTTTCTCTATCTCTCTCTTTTATTCGAGCTCTTACGAACGCATTTATTACGAATCCACGCAATGTGTGAGGAGTCAATTGACATTTTACATTAACCCTTGTTAGACTAATGAGTAAATTTTCCCCCCCTCTCTCTCTCTCTCTTTTGTTCTTCTTCATATTTTACTCTTTCGTTTTTTTTTTTTTTTTTTTTTTTTTTTTTAATCGACACCTTTTTTTTCCTTCTCCTCCTCTCTCTCTCTTTCTATCTCTCTCCCTTTTATAATTTAATTTTGTTGCGGCGGCGCCCACGCATTTTTTTTTTTACTTCTTAATTGTAATTTTTATGACTGAAATTTTTTTTAAAAAAGTTATTTATTGTTGGCTGTAGTTAAGCTGTAGGCCTACTACAACGCACTACAACGCAGCCCTTTTTTCCCCTTTTTATTTTGTTAAAAAAAAAAAAAAAAGGAAAAAAAAGAGGAAAAAAAAAGGAAAAAACTTAGACCTACGGAGAGTGTCGTGTGATTCGACCGTAACATATTTTTGCTTTTAAATTTTTTTTTTTTTTTTTTGAATTACGAAAAAAAAGCGCGGGAAACAATTTATTATGGCGTCGTGCGGAGAAAACAAAACGAAAACAAAAAAAAAAAAAGAAAAGAAAAAGACGAAAAAATAAAAAGGAAAATTTGTCAAGACAAAGAAGTTGAATTTTTCCTTTTTTCTTTTTTCTTTTACTTTGCAATAAAAGTTTTTTTTCGTTTTTTTTTACCCCCTCCCCTCACTCTCTCTCTCTTTTTTGTTTTTCTCCCAAAGGCTGAATAATGTTTCATTAAAGGGGACACATAAGCCAGGACTGGGCGTTACGAAGGAAAAGCTTTTTTCTGACTTTTCCTGGGCGACGAAAATAAAAAAAAAAAATTTTTTTTTTTTTTTTTTTTTTTCATTCTCCGTCAGAAAAAGTTAAATATGACATCAATTTCAATTTTTTTTCCTTTTTTCCCCTCCTTTTTCCTCTTCATTTTCCTCCTTTTTCCTTCTTTTTCCTTTTTCGTTTTCGTTTTCGTTTCGTTTTTTTTACTTTCCTCCTCTTTGTGACATTTTTTTCTTTAAATTCAAAAGTTTAAAATTTTTTTTTTTTTCCTTTTTTTAAATTCCTTTTTAAAAGTTTTTTTTTTTTTCTTTCTTGACATTGTTGCCACTCGTATAAATTTTATGACTTAAGAAAAAAAAGGAAAAAAGGAAAAAAAGTTTTTATTGTGTTTTTTTTTTTATTTTTCTCTCTTCTTATTTTCTATCTTTCTTCATCTTTTTATTTTTTTCTTTCTTTTTTTTTCTATTTGAATAAATTATTATTATTATTTCAATATTATTCCTAGCAAAAAAAGGAAAAGAAGGGAAATTTTTTTTTATTATTATTATTAAAAGACGGTAAATCAGTTTTTAATAATAATAATAATAATAATAAAGAAAAATTAAGAGATGGAAAAGTGGGAACTTAAAAAAAAAAAAAAAATTTGCTGCGGTTAATAATTTTGCGTGGTCGTATTAACCGTAGCAATTTTTAAGTTTTCTTCAACGTGACAATAGGTTTCCTTTTTTGTCTCTCTCTCTTTGTCCGGCACGGAGAGTGTCCAGGATCTTTTACTATCCCCTCCCTCTCTCTTTCTCTTTCTCTCCTTTCATTTTAAATTTTTTCACGTGTGCTAATTTTCCAAATGAAAAAGTTTAAAATTAAAATTAACGAAAGGTGGTGAAGATGGTGGCGGTGGTGGTGGTGGTGGTAAAGGGTAATTATAGGAAAAACGGAAATGAAAGAGAGAGAGAGATAGAGACAGGCAACAGTTTTAAAATTAATTAAATAAATTCCAAAGAATAAAAAAAAAAAGAAAAAAAATTATTTTTGTTACCGTTCTTATTATTGTTCTTTCTTTTTGTCCCCCAACCCCTTTCCCGCCGCCCTCCCCAAATTAATTAGACGCATGATAATAATAATAATATTAGCAATAACGATGATAAGGTTAATAGTAAAGTGGTGATAAAATAAACCATTCATTCATTTCCTCACTCATTCTTATTTATTTTAAAAAGAATTTATTGATGTTATTAATTTACGTCTTTTCGTTAATTATTAATTATTATTATTTTTTATTTAATTATCAATTAAAAAAAATATTAATGAGCAAATAAATAAGTTAATTATTAAATGATAATGATAATAAAAATGGTGTAACGGTGATGGTGTGGTGATGAAACGAAAACGGTGGAGGAGAAAGAAACGATCAAAGCGAAAAAGCGAGGTATCAAAATACGAAAATGATTTGGGGTCATCGCGGGTCAAACTCCCGGTATCGAGGGGGAGGGGGGAACCAACGTGTTAAAAGGTCCCCTTTTTTTAAAAAACATTTTTCGAGAAAATTTTTTGACGGAGTGTAAACGAAAGGAACGAAAAAAAAATCGGTGAAAGGGTTCGCTTTTCGAAAAAGAATTGGAGGCGGGGAGAAGGAGGAGAAGGAAGGACCTGGAATGGAAAAATTTCGAAAAGTGTGCATATCGCACACAGACGCATACAAACGAGCACGCCCACGCACGCACGCACGCACACGGCACAGCGAAAATATTAATAATAATGATAATATTGATCAAAATAAAGTAAATACTGAATATTTATATTCAATTTCCTTTCATTTTCCTGTCAGGTGTATGTAAATAGTAATAGTAGTAATAATAATAATAATGATGATGATGATGATGATGGTGATGATAATATAAAGTGATATCATCGAGTTATATTTGTATATTTTTTTTCAATTTATAATTAAAAAAAAAAAAAAAGGTTTTTAATATGATTCGTATACTAAAACGAATTTTGTTGAATAATAATAATAATTATCATTATTATCATCATCATCATCATTATTACTATTTGTTTTTCTCTTACGCGCTTCGCTTCGTGTCCGGTGATCAACTCAAAATCCATTCTAGATTTTTTAGTCTCTAATTCAAAATTTGAAAAGTTTAAAGTTGACTTTTTAGTAGTGGAATAGTGCCGCCTTTAGGTTGTGTGTACGTGCGTGTGTGCGTGCACACGCGCGCGTCCAACTTTATCCCGGAAAATTTTAAACAAATCCCGATATCGTTTCCCGTTGAAAGGTTTTTTGCAAACGTGTCTTCTGGCTATCTTATTACTCTTTCCCTCTGGGTATTGAAACATTTACTCATTATTATTACTATTATTATTATTCTGTTCGTTTGAGGCGTTTAAGTTTCATCGCGTAATCATCATCATCATCATCATCATCATCATCATCATCATCATTATCATTATTGCGTTTCTTTAAAAAAATTTTTTTTTTCTCTCTCTCTCTCTCTCATACGCGTCACAAGTTTTTATTAAAAAAAAAAAAAAAAAAAGAAAAAAAAGAATCGATTTCTATTATTAAAAGGTTTTTTTTTTATCGGGAAGGGGGGGGGGAATTCAATAATTTATGTGAGAGGGAGGGGGGAGAAAAGGGAGGTAAAGAAAGAATCTTTAATAGATTTTAAAATCATTTCAAGAATTTTTTTTTTTTTTTTAATTTATGTGACATTTAAAATTTAAAAAAAAAAAAAAAAATCAATATCGGTGAAATTAATAATAATGATTTTTTTCTTATTATTATTATTATCATCATCATCATTATTATTATTAATCGTCGCCGTTAGGTGATTCTCCGATCGGTCCTCATTATTATTATTATTATTATCATTATCCTTCGCTGTTGTTTTTTTTTGTGTGTAAGTGAATCGTTTTTTACTATTTCAAAGTTTTAATTAATTTTTTTTTTTTTTTTTTGTAGTGTCACAAAAACATTTTTTTTTTATTTCGGTCTGTTGACACGACGACATTTTCACGACTCTTTTGTTTGTAAATTGAAATTTTTTTTTTCACTCCTCTCCTCCCCCCAAGTTCTTTCCTCTCCCGGTTATGCACACGCGAGAGTATCGAAAAAGTTTTTGCAAATTTCGATTAATCGATCGATCGTCAATCGATTTAAATCGACGTGGACGTGATTGTGGACGCAGATAAGAACGACAACGATTTATTCTCGTGTAATAAGAATGTTTTTTTTTTTTTTTTTTTTTTTTTAAACGTTAGCGCGACTTGTGACTTCTGTTCAGTCTGTTTCATTTCTCTTCTCCTCCCACGTTCATCATTTTCTTTAATGATTCCTCGACTTAAATTCTAAACGAAAATTAAACAACTTCCCCCCCTCCCCTCCCCACTTTAAGTGGTTAACTCGATGTTAAGGTCAGTCGGAGGCCGAAGGGTACGTCGTACGAAAAAGAATTTATTTCTTCGGTCACCATTAATTTGTTAATTGAATATTTTAAATTCGTTTTGAATTCTTAACCACCATCGTGTGTTTGTTTCTCTCTCTCTCTCTCCTCTCTCTCTTTGTCTCTCTCTCGACGTGTGTTTTTTGGACTTTTATTACTATTATTATTATTATTATTTTTTTTTTTTATTCACGTCGCCATTGCGGTTGGTTGTTGGTTTTTTTTTTGGCGAGGCTTCACACCTCGTCGAATCTATTATTATTATTATTATTTTTTTTTTTTTCTTATCCTTTTACGTTTTTATGACCAAATTGCGAGTTGTTCAATTCCGAGATGACGATTCAATTATATTTATCATTACTATTATTATTATTATTTTATTTTTTAAATTTTATTTGACGAACGAGGTCAAATGTCACCCGAAATTAATTTGATTTGAAAAGGCTCCGGAATACGTTATTCGTTATTGTCGTTCGTGACTAAACACATTATCATCATCATCATCATCATCATCATCATTATTATTATTTTTAATAAGGTTTTCATTTTATTGCCGATGATGAAGCAAAAAAAAAAAAAAGAAAATTTTTTTTTCGCTGCGATTTTCTAAAATTCGAACTTGAAAAAAATTTTTCGCATTCGTTTTTCTACTCGTCGTGGTTGTAGAAAACGAAAATTCGAGAATTTGTTCGTTTTTTTTTATTTTTTTACTCTCTCTCATCTGGTCTATTTCCACGATAATTTTTTGTATTTATTTATTTATTTATTTTGTTTTTGATTCGATCGCGACGCTTTTCGTTTTTTTTTCCTTCTCTTTTTTCTTTTTTTTTCCAACATTTTTCGCACTTATCTTTATTGTTCTTTTATAACGAACGTTTGTTTTATTAATTTATCAGCTTTTTCTTCTCTTATTCTTCTTCATCTTCTTTGTCTTCTTCTTTTTTTCTTTTTTTTTTCTTTTTGATAAACAAATAAACGCGTATTTAACAACGGAGTGAAATTGTTGTTTTTTTTTTAAACAAAATCTTTATTCATTGTTTGTTTATAATTTCGCAAGTCCGAGAGCGCGAATGTTTTTATTATTATCATTATTATTATTATTTTTAATTTTAAATTTTGCTTTCGTGTGAGTTCAACAACCGAGTCAACAAACAACAATTATCTCTCTTTCTCTAAAAGTGGGAATGAAGCATGACTAATCCTAATATAACACAGGGCGTTAATGCCAAAGATATGAGAGAGAAAGAAAGAGAGAGAGAGAGAAAGAGTAATTGTCTTTTAATTGGTCAGACTAGTGGAAGAAGTAATGGTGATAATAATGAGGATGATGATGGTGATAACACCAAACATCCAAAATCTTATTTTGCATATGCATTTAAAAAAAAAAAAATTTTTTCGCTTAAAATATTATTCGCACGAGTTTTTTTTTTTTTTTTTTTAGTTTTAGTTTTTTAATGTTGGTAGAGAAACATTTTTTATTTTTTTTATCATCATCATTCCAGCTGGCTTTTGCCCAAACTTCTTTTTGTAAAAAAAAAAAAAAAAAAAGAGAGAGAGAGAAAAAAAAGTCATAAACAATTGAAATAACTTTGGAAATATTTCAGAATTGTTATTTAGGTCAATCGCCCACTTATTAACCATCCATCCATCCATCCATGTATCTATCTAACATGTTATTTAATAATTTTTTTTTATGATCATCATCATCATCATCATCATCATCATCATCATCATTATTATCATCATCCTTTTTCCTTCTCTTTTCTCTTCTGCTAAAAATTTATTTCGGTCTGTGAAACATTATAACTTTTTTTTTTTTTTTTAAATGAAAAGAGTGTGTTTGTATTAATTTACATGAAAAATTTTTTTAATAATTTAATCGTGGCATTAATCTTCATCACTTAAAAATTTTTTTTTTTTTTCTACTACTACTACGGGAAAGTTTTCGTGGAAGAAGATTTTATTGGATAGAAAGAAATGAATTAAAAATATTTTAGCTGAAACTGGAAAAAAGAGAATTTCGTTCGTTTTAAGTTCGAGATTTCTTATCGAAAATAATAAATGAATAAAATTTTATTTAAACGCGAGAGGAAAAAAATAAATAAATAAATAAATGTATAACGTTCGTATTTATCATCATTATTATCATCATCATTATCATCGTCGTCAGTTTTACTTCTGCTTCTTCTGCTTTTTCTTTTCCTTTTTCTCTTTTTAAAACTTTCTAAAATGCGAATTATGAATATTTAACGTTTGAACTTTAAATTTTTATACTTATTAATAATAATATCTATCTGTCTCGATTTACTTTTAATGCAAAAAAAAGTGCGTGAGTGCGTGAGTGTGCGTGCGTTCTCGTTTGCCAGCGTAATTAATAAATAATTTCCCCCCCCCTCCCAGACTTAACCTCCTTAAAAAAAAATTAAATTGATGGTGCATACGTTCGTTATTTAAATGAAAGTGTTAAATAATTTATTTTTGGCGTGGCAGAAGAAAAACTTACGAAAACAAAAGGAAAAGAAAAAGAAAAAAGTTTTCCCTTACGATTATTATTATTATTTTTATTATTATTATCGTCATTATTTACAATTTTTCACTTAAAATAATTGGTTTTTCGTTTTTTTTTTTTTTTTTTTTTTTTTTTTTTTTTAATACACTTTACTAATTTATTTTTTGAAACGTTTAGTGATTGTTTTTCTCTTCATTTATAATAAATAGCATCATCATTCGTGGCAATAGAAAAGAGAGAGAGGAAGAAAGAATAACACAACGAGTGTGAACATTTTTAGAAAATGATTTAGGAAAAAAAAAAAAAGAACAAGGTAACGCCCATTTCCCAGTCCTCTTTCCACTTATTTTCGGGTCATTACCCATATGAAACATACTGTGTCATTTTTATTGCCCCCCCCCCTTTCGCCTCCCCCTTAATTTTTTTTTTTTTGACTTTTTTTCCCGTCTCTCGTTATTTTTACCCCCTCCCTCTTCCTTTTTTCACGATTTTACCGTCCGGCCTCCGATTTTTCCATTATCCCCATTTTTTTTTTTTACCGTTACTTTCCATCATTATTATTATATCATTGTTTACTTTTTATTTTTTTTTTTTTACGTTGCCGAAACTGTTTTTTTTTTTAAATTTCGTGCGCGTTCCCTTCCCCTTTTCTTCCTGCAATTGTAATTATTATTTCCCTTTTTTCCTGGGTTTTTTCGATCTCTGTCGCAGCAATTCTTCGCGAAAGCAAAACAAAACAAACAAAACTGAAAAGGTTAAATAATAATAATAATAATAATGATGATGATGTTGATGATGATGATGATGATGACAAATTAATAAATAAAAATCAATGATCGATTTCCCTTTGATTAATTATCAATCAATAATACGATCGGTCGCAGAAAGAGTTTTCCGGTTGTTTTAAAACGTTATCAATAAACGCTCGCGTTATCAGTCACGATGACGATTTTTTATTTACATTTCTATGCGTCATTGCGTACGAATTCGTTTTTTTTTTTTTTTTATTACTATTTAATTCATAGTCGTAAATCAATACGACATCCGTTATTATTATTATCATCATCATTATTATTATTACTATTATTATTATTTGCAAATAAATTCAATTAAATTTCTTTAAATCATTTTTTGTAAATGGATTCCGTCGTAATACAATCGTACGTAATCGTCATCATCATCATCGTCAACGTCATCGTCGTACATTTATTGAACGATTCGAATTGCAACAATCGTTTGTTTCTTTTTCTTCCTCCCCCTCTCCCAACAACAACAACAACAACAAACAATCCACCATCATTCTTTGATGTTGTTCGTTCAAATTGCAAAACAAGAAAAAAAAAATCCATTGATTTTCACCTTGAGCTTATTAAAACCGTTCTCATCCTTGAAAATTTATTGTTAACAAACGAACGAACGAACGATCGATAAATCGATTACCTTGTTTGTTGTGTTTGTTGTTGTTTGGTTTTAAGTTACGTTCACCGATTTTTATTGTGTTCATCTTTTTTTTTTTTTTTCCTTTTTGTTCTTTCAGGTTTTTATCCGTTTGTTTTCTTTTTTTTATTGTTGGATTTAATAAGAAAAACCTTGACTCGTTTTATTTATTATGAAATGTTATGAGGTTTCGGTTTAACCCACCCCCACTCCGCCTTGCTCCTCCCCAGCTCCCTTATCACGAAAAAAATTTTTATTTTGGATAACCGCGGGGGACTACTAATCACTCATTGATTGGATGTCGCGAACACAAAAAAAAAAAAAAAAAAATTTGATTAAAAAAGTTCAAAGAACTTTTGTTAAAATTTACAAAAAAAAAAAGGAGGGAAACAAACAACAACAACAAACAAACAAAAAACAATCAGAAATATTTAATTGAGGAAATAATTTTTTTTACTAACCGCAATAATAATAAGAATAATATTTTATTTATGTTATTAATGTTTTGTCGTGTCGGATTTGAATGGATCGTCGTAGGAAGAAAAATAATTTTTTTTTTTTTTTTTTGCGCGCAAAATTGTATGACACAATTGTCGTCGTCGTCGTCGTCGTCGCCGAAAATTGAATGTCGTTTCCGTTTCCTTT